AAGCAAAGAGTTGGAATAATTGGGCCCTTTTCAGAGTGGCAGGCAGTGACGAGTCATAGAATCATAGAGATGTACAGTGTGAAAACAGAGCCTTCGGTTGAACTGGTCCATGCTAACCAGATATCCTAAACAAATTTAGTCCCATTTGTCAGAATTTGGCCCTTATCCCTCTGAACTCTTCCTATTCATGAACTCAGCCAGGGACCATTTAAATGTTGTAATTGTACCAGCTTCCACCACTTCCTCTGGCAGCTCAATCCATACACACGCCACCCTCCATGTGAAAAAGTTGCGCCTTCTGTCCCTTTTAAATCTTTCTCCTCTCACGTTAAACCTGTACCTTCTAGTTTTAGACTCCCCCACCCTAGGGAAAAGACCTTGACTATTCAACCTATCCATACCCCTCATGATTTTATAAACCCCAATAAGGTTACCCCTCAGCTTCCGACGCTCCAGGGAAAATAGTCCCGGCCTATTCAACCTCTCCTCATAGCACAAACCCTCCAACCCTGGCAACAACTTTGCAAATCTTTTCTGAGCCCTTTTAAGTTTCACAACATCCTTCCTATAGCAGAGAGACCAGAACTGCGTGCAGTATTCCAAAGTGAGTATTCCAAATGAATGGGGATGCTGCAGGGCTCAGTGCTGAGACCCCAGCTGTTCACAATATACATTAACAATTTGGATAAAGGCATTGAATGTTATATCTCCAAATTTACAGATAAACTAAGCTGGGTGGCAGTGCGTGCTGTGAGGAGGATGCTAAGAGGCTGCGGGGTGATTTGGACAGACTGACTGAGTGAGAAAATACTTGGCAAATACAATATAACATGGATAACTGTGAGGTTATCCACTTTGGTGGCAAAAACAGGAAGGCAGATTATTATCTGAATGGTTGCAGTTTAGGAGAAGGTGAGGTGCAGCGAGACCCGGGTGTCAAGATGGAACAGTTGCTGAAGGTTGGCATGCAGGTGCAGCAGGTGGTGAGGAAAGCTAATGGCATGCTGGCATAATAACGAGAGAACTTGAATATTGGAGTAAAGATGTCTTGCTGTAGTTATACAGGGCCTTGGTGAGGCCACACCTTGAGTATTGTGTGCAGTTTTGGTCTCCTCGTCTGCGGAAGGGCATTCTTGCTATTGAGGGAGTCCAGCGAAGGAAGCTGTACCTGACTGATTCCCGGGATAACCGGACTGACATATAAAGAAAGATTGGATCAACTGGGCTTGTGCTCACTGGAATTTAGAAGAATGTTGTGGGGATCTCATAGAAACAAAGAAAATCCTGATGGGACTGGACAGGCTAGATGTGGGAAGAATGTTTGCGATGTTGGGGAAGTCCAAAACTAGGGGTCACCATCTAAAAATAAGGGATAAACTATTCAGGACTGAGATGAGGAAGAATTTCTTCACTCAGAGCGTCGTGAACCTGTGGAATTCTCTCCTACAAAACTGTTGGGGCCAGTTCATTAGATATATGCAAGAGGGAGCTGGATGTGGCGCTTGCAGCTATAGGGATCAAAGGGTATGGAGAAAAAGCGGGAATAGGATATTGAAATTGCATGATCAGGCATGATCATATTGTATGGTGATGCAGGCATGAAGGGCTGAATGGCCGACTGCTACAGCTACTTTCTATGTTTCTATCGTCATTCCTGGATATGTCCGGTCCCACCAAGGGAACAAATCCATCAGACATGTAAGCACAGTGCTGCTAAACGATTGGGGGAGATTTACCCTGGGAGTCTTCAACTTCGACTCTGGACCCCATGAGGTTACTTGGCATCAGGTCAAACATTGGCAAGAAAGTCTCCTGCTGATCACCGGTCACCACAAACCCCTCCTCAGCCTCAGCTTGTGAACCAGTATTGAACACCATTTCCAAGAAGGACTAAGCAGCTCCAATAACACTCAGGAAGCTCAACACTATCCAGGACAAAGCTACTTGATTGGCACCCCACATAACACCTTCAAAATTCAGGCCCGTCAAAACTGATGTTCAGCGGAACCAGTGTGTACCATCTATAAGATGTGCTGCAATGTCTCACCAAGCCTCCTTAGACAGCACCTTCCAAACCCACAGCAACTATTGTGTGGAAGCGCAAGGGCAACAAGTACATGAGAATACCACAACCTGAAAGTTCACCTTCAATCTCCTCACCATCCTGGCTTGGAACTTTTTCACCATAACCTCACCATCACTTGGTCAAAATTCTGGAAAAGGCTCCCTAACAGCGCTCTGGGTGTAACTTGATCACAAGAAGTACAGCAGATCAGAAGAGCAGCTCACCACTACCTTCTCCAAGGCAAGCAAGTAGAGCAACAAATGCTGGCTTAGGCAATGAGGCCCACATTGCTTGAATGAATAATAACAAAGATGAGCTACTGAGGCCAGGTGAAAGTAGCCTTTAGGTTCCAGTTTTCTCTCTCCAATTTTTTCAAAAAGTGCAATTAACTTTGTTATGTTCCATTCCAAGGGAAGTTTTCTGAAATCTAAGGAATTCTGAAAGATAAAAACAATGCAATCCCTTTCTCTGTTGTCTACAATTTTAGAACAGTAGAACACTAGGCACATGATTTGTGGGTTTTCTGTTGATTTAATCCCAATTATTTCTCCAGGTTTTTGTGACTACCATCACTTGCCCACTACTTACAGAATTATTTTATGTCTACAAATGTGAAGGCAGATATTTGCCTCCACCATTGTTTTTAATTCACCATTAAAACTTTGGATTCTGTCTGAACTTAAGGGTCATACTTTTACATAGTCGCCTCTTTCTTTTTATATACCTACCAGACGCTTTCGCAAACTGTTTATATATTATCATAAATCTGCTGTTCTAGTTTCTCTTTCCTTAGCAATTTCCTGGCCATCCATTACTGAATTAAAAAGAGGGCGTTTCCCACCCTCCGATATGACTCTGAAACATGGACTGTCTACAGCAGACACCTCAAGGCGCTAGAGCAGTACCACCAATGCCACCTGCGCACGATCCTGTGAATCCGCTGGGAAGAAAGCTGCTCCAACACCAGCATCCTTGGCCAGGCCAACATCCCCAGCATCGAGGTACTGACCCCCCTTGATTGGCTGTGAAGGGCGGGGCACATTGTCCACATGACCGACACAAGACTTCCCCGAGCAGGTGCTCTATACTCCCAGCTCTGAAATGGCAGGGGAGCCCCATGTGGACAGAGGAAGTGTTTCAGTGATACCCTCAAGGTTTCACTGGCAAAGTGCGGCATTCCCACAGACACCTGGGAATCACTGGCCCAAGACCGTCCAAAGTGGAGGAGGGGCATCTGGGAAGATATCAAACACCTCAAGACTTGCCATCAGGGAAAAAGTGGAAGCCCGACAAAAACGGTGAACAGAGGTGCTGCCACACCAATGCCCCAGCCACCCCTTCACATGACCACCACCTGCCTCAAGTGCAACAGAGCCTGCGGTAGCCTTATTGATCTGTACAGCCACCTTCAGACTCTCCGTGAGAGTGGAAGAGAGTCATCCTCATCTGCGAGGGACCACCAATGATGATTCCTTGCATTGACTATTCCTTTTGACTATCATAACAAAACTTGCTCAATAACTTTATGCCATCTTTAATTTCTCCTGTTAGACAGAACTGGATGTTTTCTCTCTTGGGATTTTTATTATTTAATGGAATGTGTATTTATTACAATTTATGAATTAGTTTTTAAATGATTGTTATTGTGTAACCATCGTTAGACTATTAAAGTAGTTTTCCAATCCACTTAAGTTGGCCCACATAGCCACATAGTTTGCTTTGTTTAGGTTAATACTACAGATTGGACAGCATCCTCAAACTCAATATAGCTGTAATCATATTGTAATTATTCCTCCGCAGAGGCACTTCTCTGACAAAAGTTACTCATTAATCTTTTCTTATTGCACAATACTGGATCTGAAATAACTGATTCCCTTGTTATTTCTTGACGTACTGATCTAGGAAACTGCAATACAATCCAGGAACTCATCTATTACATTCATACTGCAAATGTGGCTTCCCCCTTCTGGATGAAGTTGAATTTCCTCCCCCTTCCCAACCCCTCCGATGGTAGCTGTATTATTGTATGCACTACTAATTTCATCACACATCCTGTAGCAGACAATAAAATGGTTGTTACATGGTCTATAAACAACTTCACTAAATGTTTTCTGCCTCTCATTTCTCAGCTCCATCCAAATTCCTTCAGTATCCAGAACTAAAAATCTTTTTTTCTGATGTCTTCATTCTATCCTTCCTTAACAGGCAGTTCCTCCTCTTTTTCAATTTCACCTATCTCTCCTAAGTGTCAAAAAATCTGCAATATTGAATTCCCACGCCTTGGTTACTCTGCAACAATGGCTCTGAAATGGTTATTATATCAAAGCTATTTATTTCTAATTGTGTTATTAAATGATCTATTTTGTTGCAAACGCTTTGCACATTTCGTTTTAATGTATTAATCATCACACTTTTCAATCTATTTCTTCTTAATGTCACCCTAGCCATTAATGCCCCATCATATTTGTTAAGCTCTCTGCCCCTTCCAGTCTCACTTGGCTCATTTTTACACAAATAGCTATTCTACTATTTGTCTTGTAGCTTTTGAATTTACTGTTTTGTGAATTGATCCTTATTGCCAAACTTAGCGAAATGTGTTCTCCTGTACATGGAGATAATATTCTCTTCAATGCAGTTTATATCCAGCTAGATATTTTATAAATACTGTAATGCTTCCATATTCCCACTAGCCTATCGAAAACTGTTAAAATTGAATTATTTTAATTTGGGGGAAAAAACAATTCATCCAGGACGAAAAGGAAAGTTTAAGGTTTAATGTTGAGGTCGGATAAGGAATAATCCAGACTAAGAATAATTAACTCATTGAGAGACAACTACAGTAGAATTTGAATGGGATTAGATCTAATGGATTGGAGTTGAAGGGTAGCAGGAGAAACAATTACTGAACAATTCATTATTTTGCTAAAAAAAACAGAAAAAAAAGCTCAGACGCAGTCAAGTTATACTCCTTCAAAGGAAAAAGTTCGGGTAAAATCTATAGCTCTCTGGATGATGAAAGGAAAAGACATGAAGACAAAGAAAATAAAGGTATGCTTCTATGATACATGTCATATTGATAACAACCTGATTGTAGGAGCTTCAGAAGGGAATTTGAGATTAAATTAATTCGTTTTTGTATCCATTTGTTCAAAGCCATGCAACTTTGTAACTTTATTCTCCTGATAAGTACTTAGATGTCATACTAATGTTGAATTTCAAGGGCGTAAGTTGAGGGTGGATGGCCTCTACTTTAATGCTAGGAGTATTATAGGGAAGACAGATGAGTTAGGGTACGGATTGACATGTGGAATTGTGATGTTGTTGCCATCATGGAGACATGTTTGAGGGTGGGGCAGGACTGGCAACTCAACATTCTGGGGTATAGGATCTTCAGGCAAGACAGGAGGAGGTGGTGTCACATTGCTAATTAAGGAGTCAGTTGCTGCTGTAAGGAGGAATAATATCTTGCAAGGGACTTTAAATGAAGCTTTGTGAGTAGAACTTAAAAATAAAAAAGGAACAGTCACATTGTTAGGAGGGTATTGTAGGCCCTAAAGCAGTGAGCAGACAATAGAAGAGCAGATATGTAGGCAATTCACTGGGGGTTTGTAAAAATAATCTATGGGTAATTCTATTAGGGGATTTCAACTTCCACAGCATTAATTGGGATAGTCATAGATTAAAGGCTTTAGAAAGGGTCGATTTCTTGAAATGTATTCAGGAGAGCTTTTCATATCAACATATAGATGATCCAAAAAGGAACAGTTCAGTAGTGGCTCTGATTCTGGGGAATGAAGCTGGACAGGTGTTTGAGATGGAAGTAGGAGAGCATTTTAGTGATAGCGACCACACAACGTATGGTTTAAATTTGTGCAAGGAACTGAAGGATATTGGTAAGGTGTTTATACGAGTAATTCATATTTGTCTTCACTTTGGAGAAGAAGAATTTAGGGAAGAAGAAGTGTGAGGGTTCTTGAACAGTTTGATTTAGGAAATGAGGAGGTATTAGAGGTCTTGGTGGGCGTAAAAGTGGACACGTCCCCATTTCTGAATAAGTTGTATCCCAGGTTGTATTGTGAGACGAGGGAGGAAATTACAGGGGCTTTGACTCAAATGTTTAATCCTCTCTGGCCACAGAGGAGGTGCCAGAGGACTGGAGGATGGCTAATGTGGTTTTACTTTTCAAGAAGGGTCGTCAAGATAAACCAGGGAATTACAGACCAGTGAGGCTCACATCAGTGGTAGGGAAACAATGAGAAAATTCTGATGGAGAGAATTAATCTCCTGTTGGAGAGGTGAGGTTTGAACAGGGATAGTCAGCATAGCTTTGTCAGATCATGCCTAATAAATTTGATTAATTTTCTTTGACTAGGTGACCAGGTGTGCAGATGAGGGTATGAGGGATGATGTAGTTCATATGGATTTCTGCAAAGCCTTTGACAAGGTGTCACATTTGAGACTGATAAAGATGTGAAAGCACATGGGACACAGAGTAACTTGGATCCAAAACTGGCTCAGTGACAAGAGTCAGCGTGTAGAGGCAGAAGGCTTATTGCGTGACTGTAGGCCGGTGTCTAGCGGCTTAACGCAGGGGTCAGTGCTGGGGTCATTCCTGTTCATGAAATATGTATAAATGATATCGAAGAAAATGTGGGGTTTGAGAAGTAAGTTTGCAGGTGACATATAGATTGACTGAGTGATTAATAGTTAGGAAGAAAGTGCTAAGTTACAGGGAGATATAGACAGGTTGGTCAGATGAGCAGACCAGTGGCGGATGGAATTTAATCCTGCTAAGTGTGAAGTGATGCACTTTGGAAGAAGTAACAAAACAAGGGAGTATTCAATGAATAGCAGGGCATTAGGAGAAAGAGAAACAGGACTTAGGTTAGACCACAGTTAGACCAAGTATTGTGGGTAGTTTTGGTCACCACACTGTAGGAAGGATGTGATTACATTGGAGGAGGTGCAGAGGAGATTCACCAGGATGTTGCCTAGGATGGAGCACTTCAGCTTTGAAGAGAGGCTGGATAGTTTGGGTTGTTTTCTTTTGAGCAGTGAAGGTTGAAGGGGTCCTGGTGTATAAGATTATGAGAGACATGGGTAGGATGGATAGGAAACAGCTGTTCCCCTTATTTCTACAATAACAAGGGGGCACAACTCACATTGAAAGGCAGGAGATTCAGAGGAGATTTGAGGAATTGTTTTCCATACAAAGGGTGATGGGAATATAGAATGCATTGCCTAGGATGTTAGTTGAAGCAGGTAACAGGGATAGGTTGGGAGGGTGGGTCCAGGTGATATGTTCTTCGGCAGGTGGGTACAGCCTGACTGGGCAGAATGGCCTCTACCTGCCCAGTAGAGATTCTATGACTGTATGATTTTGTGATTCTATGAACCTCATAACTTTTAAGAAGTACTTTGATTAGCACTTGAAGTGTCATAGCAGTCAAAGGTACAGGTTAAGTGCTGTAATATGGGACAAGTGTAAATTTAAAGTAGACTTTTGTTCATGCAGGTTCTATGGGCTGAAGGACCTTTTCTGTCCTGTAGGATTCTATGATTCTAAAGACATTTCTGTGGTATTCATGCTACTGTGAACAAAGCTAAGATGACTCAACAGAAGTATCTGTTGAGGATATTAATTATATCTGAGAGACTCAGTTGGAATAGTGTTGCTTTTAAAAGTAACTCCAATCCAATGAGTGGAAAAAGTGAAAGATCGTGTATGTAGAAGGTAGGGCTTGAAGAACTATATGTGACACCATGTAGGCTCTGAGAATGATGCTGAGATTGCATGAGAATGATCAAAGTTTTATTGACTATATAAAGTTAATTTAAAGTTTAAAAGTTATTGGCCATATGTTTCTATCACAATACAATTTGCCTGTTAATACATGCTCAATTCAAGTTAATTATTGGTTTAACTGTTATAGTGGAAGTTTTAGACAGTGAAATTGGTACCTTTCATCAGGTTATTTGGGGATCTATTTCTTTTCAGTTTATTGTTCTCTAGGGGAGGGATTCCAGGATGTGGTCCCAGTGACAGTGACAGTGAAGGACTGGAAATAAAGGGCAGTATCTTATGACTATTGTGACATTTGTGACTATATCAGATGATCTTGCCTTTATTGTTCAGTGCATTGAGGAGAAGGGTTGGGATGTCATGTTGCAGCTGTACAGGACATTGGTGAGGCCATTTTTGGAATACTGCATTCAATTCTGGTCTCCCTGCTGTTGTTAAATTTGAAAGGGTTCAGAAATGATTTTGAGGGGCTGCAGGGTTTGTGCTATAGGGAGAGGTTGAATAGGCTACAGCTATTTTCCCTGGAGCATCGCAGGCTAAGGGGTGTCCTTATAGAGGTTTATAAAATCGTGAGGGGTATGGATGGGGTAAATAGCCAAGGTCTTTTCCCCAGGGTGAGTGAGTCAAAAACTAGAGGGCATAGAATTAATGTGAAAGGGGGAAGATTTAAAAGGAACCTAAGGGGTAACTTTTTTCATATAGACTGGTGGTGCGTGTATGGAATGAGCTGCCAGAGGAAGTGGTGGAGGCTAATACAATATTTAAAAGGCATCTGGATGGGTATATAAATAGGAAAGGTTTAGAGGGATATGCACTAAATGCTGGCTAATGGGCCTAAATTAATTTAGGATATCTGGCCAGGATTGATGAGTTGGACCAAAGGTTTCCTTGTTTCCGTGTTGTACGTCTCTATGAGAATTCTAACAAGGCCTATCTCGACAGGTTGGGGCAGTTTGCTGCATGCTTTATGCTTTTGCTGAGCGACAAGGTGAGGTTCTTGCTAGTGAATGGTAAGTTGGCAATAAATGAGGATTGTAGCTTGTTAAATACCTTCTTAATGGCTCAACTCACTTTCTTAAAATTGAACTTCCTGTCTTACCAAACGTGCTGAACAAGTTAGGTGTAAATTTTTCCCAACATGAATATCACAGTGAGTATCCGGTCACTTCAGCTCACCGCTGGACACTGGGCACCAACATCTCAGGGCACGATCCGTGGGCAGTGGTCACACATACCCAGCATCCACAATCACTGGCACCAGATAGCTCTAAGAACTGTTATGGCAGATCTTCTCTCTCTCTCCAGGTGGTTGGGGCTCCACTGCTAAGCCAGGTCAAGTCTTCACTAAATCTTCACTAAGGGGCTGGTTTCAAGGTGTGTGTGTTTTTACGCCCCCCCCCTCCCCAACACTGGACCTTCCAGAATGTTCTGTGGCCTTTGGTAAATGGAGACATGAGCTGGGTTCAAATCATCCAATGGGATCACGCCAAAACCTCTCCACTGTTGCCATGCCAAAAGGTGTAATGTGTGCAAACTCAGGCAGTCAAGATGCCAGAAATTCTGTTTGATACTTCTCCAAATACAGTCTTCAAGCTGGTTGTAATTGGTTCCCCCAGAACTTTTGTGACCTCATTGACCTTGGTTTCCATTGTTCTCTTTCACTGAAAGCAGCTGGTTGCTGTTTAATTTTAGTTTGGTCAATTTTCTGTCAGACCTGATTTTTCCGGCGCTGGGTCAATTTAAAATGTCCAAATTTAGGCCTGTTGTCGCTTGAACACAATGCTCACAGAACTCCTGTCTCGCCTTTTTGGGTTTTTTCTCTCAGCCAGAGATACTAGGCTGATATTACTTATGTCTTGCCTTGCTATGTCATATGGGCACAAAGCCGGGAAGCTTGTCATGGTTGTTAGCAGTCCTCCGTCAAGTCAAGCCTTCAAACAGGGGTCCTAACAAGGGCATAACAAGGGCAGCCTCTAATACCAGTCCATGCTTGGGGTTGCCAAAGTCAGGGTAATCTCTTCATTAAGGGTGAGTAGCCGAACATTAGGCAGCACACATAATCCGGTGTGGCGTCTTTGTCCAGATTGGCGTTCTTTTTCCTGGCGGCACTTTCTTTAGCAGATGCGTCCGGCCCAGCGATCTGATGGCCTGGCGAGGGTTCTTTATCAAGGGTGGCAGTCTTGTCCCGGCAGCAGTTTTCTTCGGCAGAGGCTTTTGGCCCAGTTTTTCCATGGCCCAGCATGTCGGTTTCATCCCAGTGTGGCCAGTTCTCATCATGGATTGATCAGCTTCCTCCAAGACCAGGAGACGTTAAATGGACTGTGATGAACTTTGTCTTAAATTTACTTTTTGTTGTTACTTATGAATTTACATATAACTTCTGTCATTAATACAGGTGCCATGGTAAGGCGACTTTTAACACTTTTCATTGTATTTTTCTTGTAAAAGTACATATGACAATAAATTCTAAGGTACCACACAGGGCAGCTCTAGACTAACAGTGATCCTCCAGGTGCACAATGGGCTCTTAAAGATGATGTTGCAAGGGATGCCAGTCTTTTGGCAGATATTGGTGAGAGTCCCATTCTTCTGAGAATGGCGCATGGTAAGATTTGGCTAGAATCTGACATGTCGGATAACATTGGGATGGGGTAGATAGTTATTGAGAAATGTTTTGTCACATACAAAAGAAAATCATGGTGAGAATTCTTCCTAAAAACTGGACACAACTCACACTTAGCCAAAATAACATTAGATTCAGCCCATAGCTCCGAATGTAATGATGATGCATGATTTGAAGCATAAACTGCAGATTGTGATTCCCAGCAACTTCTGCCCTTCTTTGTCAACCAGGGAAACGTCTCAAGTTCAGGGGATGCTGTTGAAAGAGCCTTGTTGATGTGCTGCAGTTTACCTTGTAGATGGTATGCACTACTGCTATAGTACACCAGTGCTGAAGGAAATCAGTGTTCTTTAAGATTGGTGGGTATCAAGTTAGCAAATTGCTTTGTCCTAGATGGCATTGTGTGTCTTGAATATTGGAGCTGCAGTCATCATCATCCTGGTGTAATATTCCATCAATTTCCTGACATATTCATTTTAGATGGTAGACAGGCTCTGGGGAGTTTGGAGGTGGCTTACTCATTGCAGATTTGAAAGACTGTTGTTGTAGTATTTACATGGCTAGTACTATTAAACCTCCAGTAAATAGTGACCCCCCGGGTCATTGTTGTGGGGGGCATTCAGCAATGATAATGCCATCAACAGTCAAGGAGAGATGGTAAAATTTGCTTTTTGTTAAACACTGTCATTGACTGGAACTTGTGTCGCCTGAATGTTACTTGTCAATTATCAGCCCAAGCCTAAATGGAAGTGGACTGCTTCAGTATCTGAGGAGTGGTAAATGTAACTGAACACTATGTAATCATCAGCAAACATCCCCACTTCTGATCTTATGATGGAGGGAATGTCATTCATGAAGCAGCTGGAAATGGATGAATTTATAACAGTCTGTGGAGAATGTGCTGACCGTTGCCTTGGGACTGAGATGCTGGTCTCCGTAAACCAGAACAATCCTCTTTGTGCCAGGTGTGGCTCCAACTGGCACAAAGTTTTCCCCTTGATTCCCACTGACTTCGGTTTTACAGGGGGTCCATGATGCTGTGCTCAGCCAGGTGCTGCCTTGATGCCAAAGGCATTTACACTCAGTTCACCTCTTTAGCTCTTTTGTCCAACTAAAGGCTAAAAAGAGGTCTGGAACTGAGTGAAACTGGTGGAACTCAAGTGAGAATGAGTGGGCATTTTACTAGTGAGCAAGGGTGACAAGGTGGCTCAGTGATTAGCATTGCCGCCTCACAGCGCCAGGAATCTATGTTTGAATCCAGTCACAAGTGACTGTCGGTGTGGAATTTGCACGCTCTCCCTGTGTCTGCGTCGAGTGCTCTGGTTTCCTCCCACAGTCCAAAGATGTGCAGGTTAGGTGGATTGGCCATGCTAAATTGCCCCATGGTGTGCAGGTTAGGTGGATTAGTGATGGGAAATGCAGGGTTATGGGACTGGGGAGGGGTGTGGATCTGGGTGGGATGCTGTTTGAAAGGTTAGTATGGGCTTAATGGCCTCTGTCCATACTGTAGGGATTCTATGCAACCCAAAGGATCTAATATCAAATTGGATAACTCTTTCACAGACCCAGCACAGCATGATGGGCCAAACAGACTCCTTCTGGCTATTTTATTCTATAAATCAATGCTGTCATTAAATCTGATGCATTTCCATTTTCTTATTTTCTTTGTATTTAATTTCACAGAATTACTTATGTCTATATAGAGCCTATTTTCTTTCTGTTCGACAGACACTGTTGCTCAGGAGTGGATTAGATCTGTGGCAGAAACTCATGCATCTTCACCCAGCTATCTTTGTAATGCAACATTGGTTCCAGAGCCCATTAATGGAATGCCTCAGCATTTGGATGGCCTTTTCTGTAAGGATCACTGATTTTACATAGTAAGTGGTTCACATATGGAATGATAAAATGATAATCTTGGCAAAGTATTTGAATGTTCTAGGAACTATTGGCAGCATTAAATTGGATTATAAAAGGCATGAAATTATTCTGTATTCAGTTAAACCAGTTTCACGTGCAAGCACTCATAAGGCATGATAGCTATCAGTGAAATTACTAGCTTGTAGACATCTGGATATTTCTGTATGACACTCATGTCTTTCAGTAACACACATCGCAGCACTTAATGAAATTGTCTTTGAAAAGACATAGCACTGTGGGTTTTAGAAATTGTATTTAAATTATAGATTATTAATTGCTTTTGGATACAATATTTTAATAAAGAAATCAATAGCTGAAGAATTTAGTTGTAATCCTTTCTTTCCCCCTTAATGCAGACCACAGTAGAAATCATTTGAAATAGTCAAAGAATGATCTTTAAGAATGGCACAGTGGGTCAAAGGCTAACACTGCTGCCTCACGGCGCCAGGGACCAAGGTTCGATTCCATCGTCGGGTGCCTGTCTATGTAGAGTTTGCAAATTCTCCCTGTGTCTGCGTGGGTTTCCTCTGAGTGCTCTGGATTCCTCCCACAGTCCAAAGGTGTGTCGGTTAGTTGGATTGTCCATGCTAAATTGCTCATAGTGTTCAGGATGTACAGGCTAGGTGGGTTAGCCATAGGAAAGGCAGGGTGGGATGGGGGTTGAGTGTGAGTGGAATGCTCTTTGGAGAGTTGGTGTGGACACAATGGGCCAAATGCTTTCACATTGCAGGGATTTTATGATGTTTTATTAATCAAGTTTAAACCCAACAATAATGCTAATAGTCATTATTTAGAAAGTGTGATCATTTTCTCAGATGGTTCGATCTGTCATGAGTAAGGATCCACTTTCTTTTTTTGTTTTGAACTATGAACTGGAAAATGAAAGTTGGACATTGCTGTATAGTTTAAAAATGCCAGAAGACTTTTTGTAACTTGAAGGTCAAGTGAATTTGTGTGGTGTAAATATTACTTACACAAGATTACGTTACTCTTTGGAGCAGTGAGGCAGATTCTTTCTGAGAGACACAGGCATAAAATGCTCCTGGGGGTTGAAACGTTGTATATTATAGTTCTTGACTTGGTCAGCTGCAGTTTATCAGACCTGTAACTGCAGTACTCTCAGAGATACCCAGAAACCTACAAACAACTCACCTCACCTTTGTAAGTCCGGACTCTTGATCTACTAAATTTGTTTTTTGATCCCTGTCTGTATTTTGCTCCTAAAGTATATGTTTCAAAACATTATTTCATTTGTGAATGAAGATATATGTGTGTGTGTGTGTGTGTGTGTGTGTGTCTGTATTTGGGGGTTTAAAAAGGGACACAGTTTAGTTCACATTCTAATATTTAGCAACACATTTTTTGCCATTTTGTTAAAGAAAAAGGCCCAGATTTTCTGAGGCTGCATCATTGTTTTTGTAGTGTAGATGGGAGTTGTGTATGTGGACCTTCCAGAATCTCCAATGTGGTAATCTCTGAGGAGAGCAGCCATGGAATTGAAGATTCCATTGGGAAATTGCTGCACTCCTGGAATCCACCAAAAGCATCCATCTAAATCAGATAATTTGGAGGTTTCTACTGCAGTTAAGCTAACAATTACTCAGGAGAAGTTAGATAATTGAAAACCTTGTCTAACACAGGAATAACTGTTAAACTGATCCCCAACATCCCACACCCAACCCTGAATACACCTCCCTCAGACCTCTTTTACACCCCCCAGACACTGGCTGTCGATCCCCAGGGACCTGACATTCTCTCCCCTGCCTGTGAACTCAACCTGCTCGCCCCCTCCAGGACCTAACGTTCCCCCCTAACAACTCCAAGGGACTTTACATGTCCCTCCCCCACTGGATAACTCACACCCACCAAATCTACCCTAAACACTTCAGCACTTACCTGGCATCCTTAGTACCTGGCACCCTGCCTACCTGACTCCCTGGTTGCCTGGCATCCTACTCTTCCAACATCCTAGCCTCAGAATTACCTCAAGTACTTACCCTTCCACAGGAGCTGTCTAAGTGATGATCTATGATGCTGGATTGTTAAATTACAGAATACAGCAACTGAGTGCTGTGAAGGGTGTGGTTTGCCTCTCCCAGCTAACCTGAATACAGAGAGATGTTTCATATTTACAGAGTTGCTGTCAATTTCTGAAGGACTCCTGATCGATATCTCCTGTCAGACATATAGAGCTCTTTATTGATGTATAGAAATGAAGAGCAGAGTGGCAACCTGCATGATGCTTGGAAAGCGCAGCCAAAGCTTATTTCCAAAATACAGTAGTTTTCCTGTTAATGACAAAACTTGGTGTGAATTATCCTTGTTCTGAATAGCAGCAGGAAAATTAGTCATCTTGACGGTCTAATTGTGATGGTTTATGGAATTGATTATGGTTTGATTATCAATGCACTTTTTTCAAACAAGTTATGGCATACTAAAGAGAATTCATAATTAATCAGAAGGTGCACTATTTATTTCATCAACATTCTATAGATGGTCAGTTCACATCAATCAACACAACAAATTTAACCAACAATGTCTACCTACAGCGCTTTAATATCTCAAGGAGTCGTAAAGTTTTGCAGTTGTACAGCATAGAAACAGACCCTTCAATCCAACTTGTCCATGCCAACCAAATATCCTAAATTAATCTAGTCCCATTTGCCAACATTTGGCTGCTATCCTTCCAAACCTTTCCTATTCAAGTATCCATCCAGATGCCTTTTAAATGTTCTAATTGTACCAGCCTCCACCACTTACTCTGACAGCTCGTTCCAGACACACACCGCCCTATGTACGAAAAATGTTGCCCTTAGGTCCCTTTTATATCACTCCCCTCTCACCTTAAACCTATGCCCTCTAGTTTAGGACTCCCCTACCCTGGAAAAAGACCTTGTCTATTCACCCTATCCACGCCCCTCATGATTTTATAAACATCATAAGGTCACCCCTCAGCCTCGGAAGCTTCAGGGAAAATAGCCCCAGCCTATTCAGGCTCTCCCTAGAGCTCAAAGCCTCCAAACCTTGGCAACGTCCTTGTAAATCTTTTCTGTACCTTTTCAAGTTTAACAACATCTTTCCAATAGCAGGGAGACCAGAATTCTCTGACAATAATCACAAGAGCCTCCCTATTCAGTACAGAGGGGTAAGGCTGGTGCCAATATGGGGTACAGAAATGGACTAATTGGAAGAAGTGCAGTGGAGTGCTATGTGAGAGAAAGGTATTGCCAAAATTGAAAGGCGGAATTTATGAGAAAGTTCTGAGACCAGCCTTGTTATGTAGTGTGGGTAACATTAAGAAGAAAAGAATGACTAGATACTAATGAGATGGACATCAGAATATTGAGAAAGGACAGGCTCAGAAATCAATGGATCAGCCTGAAGGAAAAATAATGGTCTGGATCCTGAGAAAACCCTTCTTTAAAAATGTTCGGTAATCTTACATGGAAGCTCAGTTGCACATCCAATAGGCAGCACTCCCTCAGAAGTGAAGTGGACAATTGACTACCTTCTTTAATTGTGCAGGGGCAAATAAATGTCTGATTATCCAAGCTCAGTTATAGTGTTCATTGCTCTTCAACATAAGGTTAGTACATACTAATCAAATAGGACACAATCAAACTCATAACTTTGAAGCAAGATACTAATAAATTCATGTCTATAAAGTAATAGGTATCTCTAGAGGAAAGATTATACAATCTCTACAGTGTGGAAAAAGGCCATTCAGCCCATTGAGTTTACACCAACACTCCAAAGAGCATCCCAGCCAAACCCAGACTTACCCCAACTCCCATGGCCAATCCACCTAGCCTGCACATCTTTGAACTGTGGGAGGAAACCAGAGTACAGGGCAGAAACCCACACAGACACAGAGACAATATGCAAACTCCACACAGACAGTCACCCAAGGTAGAAATGGAACCCAGTCCCTGGTGCTGTGAGGCAGCAGCGCTAACCACTGAGCCACCATGCCATCCATAATATGCTCCAAGACACTACAGAGATTTATACCGGGTAAGAGTTTCCAGGGACTGTCAATCTCATGCCAGTCCAGCCCTTCTTTCTTGATGAAAGAACCGAACTCCACATTTCTGAGAGGAGATTTTTCTCAGGGCTTCCTTAGCAATGCGGAACCCTACTTTCATTCTGACAGCTCTCTTATAACACAGAACTGTCAGGCAAAGACAAACCACATCTCCTTTTCATACCATTCAACTGCTACATTCTGAAATGTAGTCAAGATAGTGTGGAGCTAGAGAAGCACAGCAGGTCAGGCAGTATCAGATGAGCAGGCAAGTCAATGTCTCAGGTCAGGACCCTTCATCAAATGTCGTCTTTCTAACAGACACTCTGACAGCTGCCGTCAAAGGTTAAGTGTATAAGGTAAGTGTAATGTTAGGGTGCATGGAGAGTAGGATGCCAGATGGGTAGGAGGATAGGGTACCAGGTAGGTAGGGTGCCAGCTGGATATGGTGTCAGGTTGCCAAATAATCAGGGTGCCAGCAGTGGAGGGGGTAAGATGCCAGATGATAGCATTCAAGACGGGTGGGGGTCCAGCTCGGGCAGGCCGAGGGTACTCGCAGGAGTGCTGTTGGGTGTCAGCCTAGTAGGGTATCAACAGAGATGGGTATCGGGTGCCAGGGTGCAAGGTGGCAAGGCTGCAAAGATAAATGTTTAGAGTAGCTCTGGGTGGGTTGGGAACATTGAGCGCAATGGGAGTGAGGAGCATGGTGACTGGTCTGGCGGTGGGGGTAGGAACGGTGTGGAGAAGAGGGTGGTTAGGTCTGGCAATGGGGGTTCGGGCCAAATCTGGCCTAGTGGCGGGGAGGACAATGGGTGGTAGTGTCCAGCAGCAAATGTTTTGGTTTGGATTTATTGACTGGTAGGAAGTCAGGTTGTACTCTGACAGGTGGAGGCAGAGATGTAGATGTCAGGTCCAGTGGGAGCAGCAGAGTGGGGTTTTGGGGCCCCTTTGTGTTCAAGGGAGGGGTGAAGTCAAAGGGTGCTGGAAGTGGATTGTTTACACT